CCCCAGTACTATCCCTACATCAACAACGTCACAGTGGACTCCAAGGGCCTGCTGGCGCAGGACCTGCAGGACTTTGGCCTCGAAAAGTTCAAGTGGCTGGTGGGGGTGGCCAACGACGTCAAGCTGAAGCTGCGCATCTCGGAGACCAACTCGCTGTGGGTGGCGGCCGGTCGGGCGGAGGGCGGGTCCCAGCGGGCCTGGGAGGGTGCTCAGGAGCTGGCTGAAGAGCCTCGGGGCGGGCCCGGGGGCGGGCGTGAGAGCAGGCTTGGGGGCGGGGTTGGGGTCGGGCCTGGAGCAGGTTGTGGGGAGTGTCCAGCGGCCCAATGCTGCCCCCCAAGATGCGTGGTGGAGGACCCTCGAAAAGCGCAAACCGCCACCAGTCCCAGGCAGCGCACCGCCGCCCTCACTCGCCGTCTGCTCTCTCCCCCCTCCTCCCCCACGCAGCTATGGCGGCGGCCGCTCGGGCCTGAGCGACACCGCGGCCGGCATGCTTTGGTGCGCCGACGCGCTCTTCGCCTTCTCCAAGGCCGGCGCCGTCGGCTTCCACTTCCACTGGGGCTTCGGCGGCCGCCCGATCCACGGCGGCCAGCCCAACACGGGCGTGCAGACCAACTTTTATGACGACGACCCCGCGCGGCCCTACCCCTCTGTCCACGCGCCGTGGTACGCATACCTCCTGTTCCGCACCGCCACCGCGGACCGCAGCGGCGGGTTCAGCGATACCGTCCACGTCAAGACGGCCACCAAGATGAACGGGTGCAAAGCCAACCTCAAGGTCTGGAGCCTGGTCGCGGACTCTGGAGACCTCCGGGTGGCAGTGCTCAACAAGGACGCGAAGATTGGCTGCAACGTCGAGATCACCGTGGACCCCGAGTACTGCGGGCCCGTGGGCAACCTCTCGCGTCTGATGCCTGGGTGGGGAGGGATGGACTCCAAGGTCGGCATTCTGTGGCGCAACATGTCGTACGAGAGCACCAACAACGGCCTGCCGACCGGCATCCCGGTTGACTACCCGATCACCAGCGTCCCCCTGAAGGGCAACAGTGGCAAGTGCAAGTTTACATTCGCCATGACAATTGCCAGCGGTGCGGTGCTCCAGGTCAGAAGCAAGAACCCGCCGCGGATGCTGTCGGGCGCGCCCCAGCCCGCCGTCAAGGCTACGCCGTCGCCGCCGGTGACGCCGGCGCCGTTGCCATCGACGCTGCCGCTGCCCCTGCCAGCCGCCGCGGCCCCTGCGGCCAACCTCGCCCGGGCTGCCGCTGCCGGGGTGCTGCCAGCCGTGCCGGTTGTCGCTGCGGCAGCCCCGGGCGCAGCGGTCAACGCCGCGGTGCCGGCCAGGCCCTCGCCGTAATCGCCCAATGGCCATGCCCACCCTTGCGCCGGCCGCCGGGGCCTCAATCTGATATGGCAGCCACAGCAGCGCCCTGGCTACGCCCCGCATTGGCGACCCGATGACAGCCAAAAGGGCTCCAGAGTCGCTGACCAGGAAGGATGAGAGCTGCGAAGCTTCTTACGCTTCCGCCAGGGCATGCGCCCTGCAGCGCGTGCCCAGCCTGGCCGCAATGCAGGCTGATACTCGCAAATACGAACCACGCTTGTTTTTGGATCATCTGGAAGGTGGCGCAAGCGCACAACGCTTTGGATCGTGCAAAAGGACATGGCACGGCTCCTGCTGTTGTTGGCTGTGGCGCAGTGGCCCTCCGCCAATTTGTGCCTTTGGAGGGCACACCATTTTGACCCTGCTTGAATGATTGCTCTCGCAAATAAATGCAGGGCCGGGTGCAGCGCAGCGGGCAGCCCTCTTTTAGGCCGCCACGCGGCATCGCCGCGCCATTCTGCCAGATCTCGCCGCGCCGCGCTGTCCCGGGGACCCGTCTTTGGGCTTCAAAAGCTCCCTCTTCGAGTCACAGGGACAGGAACTATCTACTGCATTCAAGGGACACGACCCGGCGCCGGTGTATAGCAAACGCGCTTTCCCAGGAAGGCCGCGGCAGCACGCGGCCGGTCGCCGCGCGCCCTCACCATCTTCTCTGCGGCCCGGACCTTTTCGCGCCGCCTGAACCCTGTCCACCTGTCCGATTGTCTACCTTATGCGATCCAATTCATATAGAGATCTCAGCATCTGCGCACAAGCGTCGCTTGGCGATGCTGTGTGTGCATGCGCTGCCGCGGCCAAAAAAGTGTTGCTCTGACGTCACTAACGCAGATCGCACAAAACAGGGGCATGTACAGAGCGCTGGACCCAGGGGTCTTTCCTGGTCCTGATCTGTAATCTGGAAACCACCAAACACGAACGCTGCAGCGGGGCAGCAAAGCGCACCCCAGCGCTGTCAGCCAAGCTTCCTGTCGCACGCAAGAACCACGGGCTGACCACTGCACAACAAAAATCACTCGTGCACCGCCCGCCCGACTGCAAGGGCGCATTGTTGCCCAAGGCACCAGCCAGCAAACTGCAGCCAACTAACTAGCTCACCCCACCAACGGGCGGCTGCAGCCCCATGTACAAAGGCAGCGGCGCCGGCACTCTATCTCGCACTGCCGGTGTGTGTGGCCCCTCACTTCTTGCCTGCCGCCACCAACGGGTTGTCGGGGGACTTCTGCCACTGCGAGGCGCCAGCAGAGGATGTGCAAACGGACGCAGGCAGTTGGATACAGTATATTGGTCGGGTCCACACAACAGGCTGCCTTGATCATAGGAACGCTCAGGAATCTGTGCTGCGGCGCGCGTGCGGCACCATGGGTTGACTGTGCAAGGCGTGTGTGTGCAACGTTTTGACCAGGCATGCAATAAGTACGGTACTCTGCTCCGCAGGGAGAAAACTCACGGACTTCCAGAGCATGTCCCGGTATTGGCTCTGTGCATTCAGATGGGATGCGGGGAAGGACGAGTTTGGCAGGGGCGGGCGCAGGCGGCAGTCCTGCTGACTCACGGCACGAGGAGCTAGTGGGGGCCACTGCACTGGGCCAGTGGGGGCAATTGCTGAGAGCTAAAGCGCACCTGCGATCGCACCCCCTGCTTTGCAGCAGGGGCGCAAGCACAACGCGCGAATCACGCCCGCACACACACACACACACACACACACACACACACACACACACACACACAAACACGCAGACATTCACACACTCCCCTTTATCTCTCCTTTCTCCCTGAGTCATCCAACCCCTAGACACACTCACACACGCACACGTGCATACACACACAGCGCAAACGTACTTGCGCGCAAGCCGCAGACGCACCTGCTTAAGCCCAGGCTTCTCCATTTTGAGCAAGGGCAGGTTTGCCGCCTCGTACGCCTGCCATGCCGCACGCGCCCGCCTGCGATTCGACACACAAAGCAGCGTCGCGCCGCCGTCATCCCACAGCGAGCCTTAGTGGCGTGCAAGGGCTTGCACGCATGTATTGCAGCCAGACGTCTGCAGTAAGGCCAACGCTGCACACAAATCAACGGCGGTCGCGAACCCCTCTGGTAGTATCACAGACAAAACCCCATGGCTGCCTCATGGCTCAAATGCATCCATGCGGCTGGAAGGGCTCACTTCTCCGGGTGCTTGTCGACAGACCCGGGGGCTTCCCCCGTGCTGAGCGTGCTAAGTGCCTGGATCGCCTCATCCACGCCGCTGGCCGCCACAGTGTCGTCCTGCCTGAGGGATGGGGTCGTGTATGCGCGCATGCGCGCGTGTGCGTGTGCGCGCGTGTGCGTGTGTGCGTGTGCACGTGTGCACCGCGCGACCTCGGGCGACGCCAAACGGAACGCCAGCCGAGGAGAATCCTGCGCAATCGTGTCGCAACGAGGCGCAGATTGCCGCTGTGGCTTCCTTGACGTTCCGCATTCGCGCGCAAGCTGCTGCCGCCCCCTGCGCCCACCACGCCCGTTCGGCCCTAGCAAGTGTGCCCCTCCCCGCCACCTGTTGGCGTTCGCCGTGTCCACCAGCCGGCCATAGCTTGCCTCGTCGACCTCCCGCTTAGACGCCAGCTGGCGCTGCTTTGCCTGCTCGGCGCGCTCTGCCTCCTCTTGCTCCCTGGTGAGCGTCAGCTGGTGGTGCGTCACCTAGGGGGATGGCAAATGTGCGCAGAAGGACAAGCATGAGGATTGAGGCAAGGATCAAAATTGAGATTAGGATTGTGACAGCGTCCCGCGGGCGACCGCTTCTGGAGCCATCCAGGCTCCATCGGGTTGACCTGAGTGTCAAAATGCGGTGCGACGGTGGAACAGGGCGGATGGAGGAGCCATCCTATTGGTGTTGTGCCACGCAGGACGCTGGCAGCTCTTCGTTGCGCCGGGGTTTGCTGGTCGGTAGGGGCGGCAGGGCCGCTCGCCAGCAGGGGCTGTCAATGGGCAGACCCGCCCACGCCGCGTCCGCCGCATAGCTGGGACCGCCCCTCCCCCTGCCGCCGCAGCCGCCGGAGCCGCCGCACGCCCGACGGCGCCGGCGGGCCACGGGAGAAGAACCTTACCTTGGGCCCGCTGACCTTCCCGGGCTTGGGCTTGGCCCGGGAGAGGGCCGCTTCCTCCTCCTCAGCCAGCCGCTTCGCCTCCGCCTTCTTGGCTGCCGTCTCCTGCGGGGCGGCGGCGGGCGGCGAGGGACGCTGAGAGGCGAAGGCAACGCACGGTCGCGGCGGGGGCGCGCGGACGCGGCCGCAAACGCAGGACCGAGCGCCGGCGGCTGCTGCGTCCCCGGGCCAATCTGATGCCTGGGCGTCGTCCGCTCATGCGCGCGCGCATGTACGCACATGCACGTCCATGCGGCTGCTCACCGCGCGCTGCTTCGCCTCTTCGTCCCGCTTCGCCTGCGCCTTGCTCTTCGCGCCCTCCCCCGCCTCCTTCCACATGCGGTCCTCTGCCGCCTTCTCTTTGGCCGCCTTCTCTGCTTCCTTGGCGGAGGACTTGCGGTCCTTTGCCGCCTGGGCCTTCTCATTCACGTACTTGGGGGCCATGCTGGCGGGCCCTGTAAGCTGCAGTGGATGCCGGGCGGTCCAACACGGCGGGATGCGTGTGGCGATTCGGAGGCAGCGACCTGAGGGCGGGGCCAGCCGGTAAAGCCCGCTGCGGCCGCTGGTCGCGCTGCTGCACGCGTTTTCTGATCGCTCAGACTCCCGTCATGCGTGGTTGTGGAGCTGTCGAGTTGCGTGCGCACGCCGGCATGCGTGCTTCGCCGCACGAGCGCAGAGCCGGTGCGCTCATCACACGCGCACGAGCCCCCCGCACCCTGCGCATGGGCCCATGCGGCACTCACCTTTTTCTAATAAAATCCGATGGCGCGTTCCTCAAAGTCTGCTTGAGGCTGCCTGCCTGTCGAGACGCCTGTCAGGTCGCGATCTTCGCCGCCTTCAGTGTAGAGCAACGAGACGCCAATTGATTCAACTTCTTGTGTAAAAGCAGAGATCCGTGCGAACATTTCATTCTGCCACGCACGGCCATTGACTCATCATGTCCCTTAGTCTCGTTGTCCTGATGTCCCTGAAAGTTCTGTGACGGCCCAGGCCTTGGCAGGATGAGCTTCGATACATCTGGAATGAGTGCCGCAGGCCCCACAAGCAGTGAAGAGCTGGCAACCCATCCACACACGATGCCCGCTGTCCTGGCGCACACGTCACTCCTGTGACAGGCTGTCAAATGCGATTTTGCGGCAACAAGCTTCTTGGCAGCCTGCGAGGGCAGCCTGCCAAACCTGCATTCAACAAATCTGGACGGAGGTGTTGTCGTAACACCACACAACGGCGTGCTGGGCGCTCAACAGTGAGCGCTAGGCACGGCTTTACCCCCTCACATGTTGTGTGGTTGACTGGTTGGGTCCGACCAGGTTCCCAACCGTAAGCCGGCATTTTTGTTCAGCCGCACTCCTATATACAGCCCAGCCCGTGTAGAAGCTAAGTCTGGTACATTGGCAGCAATTGTGTGCGCTTACCAGCACACACCTGATTGGTACCACCCCGCTGTGTGTTCCTGGGATGGCCTTTGCGCCTTGCAAGCAAGTGGGCCTTTGCTCACACAAGCTGAATCAGCCGCATATGATGCCACATGGAGCTTATTGTTGAGGGGACCTTGGTGGATACAGCTGTGCCTGCCAAGCAAGCGCAGATCACATCAGATCAGTGAGACTTCAAACGGGCAGCCCGCGCGGATAGCGGCCGTTTCGGCGCGCCGGTTTCATGAAAATCGCGTGACGTCCATTGAATGATCTTAGTTGTAATTCTGGTTCCCTAAGCATCGCGCTTCTCTTCGAGCGCTCCCGTACCCGCGGCTCCCTCAGACCTTCACAGCAGGATAGCTACAATTGTGGACGCGTCTAGGACTAGCTCGTATGACTGACCCCGACGAAGCCAGTGGCAGCGCGGAGGCGGAAGCTGCCACGACGCCGGTCGCTGCGCAGCCCGAGGCTGGTGCAGCCCGACAGCGGGGCGAGCTGCAGACACACCCGATCTCCCAGGGCACAGACTACTCGCCTTACAGCAATCCATTTGGCAACCGCCCGTCCTACAGGACGTCAGCTGGCGTCGCTGCCTCCATGTCGTCCCCCTCGGACCTGCCCACCCCAGAGGGCGCGCCCGCAACACCGCTCCCTTTGCCGCACCGGGGCGGCCCGGAAGCCGACGCCACCGGCGCGTCACCGGTCGCGTCTGACAACGGATCCAACGTGATTACGCCCGGCTCCAGCGCCGCCGGCCCTCTGTCCCCAGGCGAGATCTGGGGCGTAAGCAGCCCCGACGCCGCCGACACCGCGGGCAGCACCACCAAGCCGCGCGCGGCCGCCGCGCCTCGCGGCGGCGGCGGCGGCGACGCTGGCGCCGGCGCCGGCAACGGCGGCGGGCGGAAACGCCCGGAGGCGCTCGCGGTCGGCGGCAGCCCCTCAGCAGACTGCAGCCCCGCCAAGCGCGCCGCCGGGACCGCAGGGGCTGGCCCGACGTCCCCGTCAGACGCCGGCCTTGAGTCCCCGAGCGAGGCCGGTGCGCGGCCGCGTGGCGGCGGCGGCGGCAGCAGCAGCGGGGGCACCGCATCCGCCGCCGCCGCCGCCGCCGCCGCGCGCGACCGCGCCGCGACCAGCCCGGCCGAGCTGCTGCGGAAAATGAAGAGCAAAATGATGGCCAGCCGCGCGCTCGGCGAGCGGGGGTCCCCGACATCCCCTGCATGTGAGCGGGCCTGGGCCACGCGCCACACCCATGCGCGCGCGCGCCGTCGGGCAGAGCAGTGCGCATGGAGCCAGGGCGATGCTTCGCATGGGAGCGCGCATGTATAAACGCAGGCCGGCAGCTGCAATGCGCCGCCAGCACGCCCCCCTTGCCACCCTTTCTCTTATCTGCCAACACCCCCCACCACCCCCGTCGCACTGATGAATGCCACCGTTGCCTGCTGCGGCCCTGCAGCCAGCTCCTCCAGTAGGGATGCCAGCAAGGCCTACGGCGCGCTGATGTCAGCAACCACCAGCCCTTCATCTGAGAGGCGGCCCGCGCTGCCGTCCATACTGGACGACGCGCCCGGCCCCGCCCCCGCGCCCGCGGACGACGCACCCGACGCACAGCCGCGCGGCGGCGGCGACCAGGGGCTCTCAGGTTCGCCAGCGGCGCGACGCGGCGGCGGCGGAGGCAAGGGGGGCGCGGGCGGCTCGGCGGCGCTGCGGGCGGGGGAGTCTGCAGGGCACGGATCCGTGGCGACTTCGCCGTCTCCTTCGCTCAAGGTAGGCCGCTTGGTCATGTATAGCGGCCTCATGTGAATGCTGCGGACTACGGCTGCCGCCCCACATATGAACGCAGCAGCTGGGGCTGTGGCAGGGGCACCGCGTGGACGTCACATCTTGAGGGTCCTTGAGACACAACGTATGACTCCCTTAAATGCACACGTCCCTCTCGCAAAGTCGCAGCCTTTCAGGCAGCAACAAACCCTCTGTGTTGCCGCCGTCCGCAGGGCCCGGTGTCGTCCCCTGACAGCCACACCAGTGTGGTGTCATTCGGGTCCCAGTGCACCCCTGCCCCTGGCCTTGCCGCCTGTGACAGCCCCCAGGCGTCGCCCTCGCCTGGCCCCGGCGGCCCCACGCGCCGCACGCTCGAGTTTTCAGGGCTCTCGCCGCCGGCGCACAGCGGCGCGGCGCAGCCGGCGTCGCCGGCACGGGTGGGCGAGGGTATGTCCAGCGCTCGCCGCGGCGGCGATGAGGCCGCGGGCGCCGCAGGGGCGACGACTCCGCCGCCGCCGGCCGGCGGCGCGGCGGCGGAGAGTGGCGACGGCGGCGCAGGCGCAGACGAGGGGAGCGAGGCGGGCTCGCCGGTGGCTGGGCTGCGGCCGACGTCCCTGGATGATCTGTTTTTGGAGCTGCAGGACTCGGCCACCAAGGACACATTCAGGCGGGTCCTGGGGGAAGAGGCGTCGAAGGCGCGCGCGTCCGCCGCCGCCGCAGCAACTGCTGCTGCCGCGGCCGCAGTGGAGGAGGCGGCGGCGGCGGCGGCTGCGGCGGCCGCGGCCGCGCTCATGGAGGCGGCGGCGGCGCGGGCGCGGGCGGGAGGGGGCGCTCAGCAGGGGCCCGGCGACGGGCGCGGTGAGGAGGCGGCGGCGCCGCCGGCGCCGGCGGCCGAGGGAGCGCGGCGGGAGACGGCAGCTGCGCAGGGGCCGCGC